TCTCTGAAAGGCACACCAAGTTCATAGCCCTGGGGCGGCTCCACTGCAGAGGAAGGGAAAAGGGTGCAGGGGTCCAGGCTCCTGCCAACTGCTGTGTGGCTGAGCAGCTGTGACATGAGGGATGAGCTAGGGGAAGGCAACAGAGGGTCCCTCTGGAAACAAGGTTCTGTTTTCATCCCTTGGTGGTGCTTTGTAGTAACACAGCCTCTGTCCTGCACAGGGGCAGACTTGCCATTCCTCGTGTCCTCTTTCTGCCTGGGCACCAGTGAGCTACCCTGCAACTGGTAGGGGATCATTTCCACAGACAGACTGGCAGGCGTTCCTGGCGATGCTTCTGCCAGCTAGAGGTACAGAGCTGAAGAAAGAGTAAAGTATCACTGGTAGAACCAAACACAGCTACCCTCCATGCATGCTCACATGACAGATTTTCCCAGCTCCCACCTGACAGCAGGCATTTGCGGTGCCTAGAGCCCACTTCTAATGGTTTGGGCCTTGAATGTGCCAAGCAGTGAGGGCTCTCTGCACCACAGCTTTGCCCTGGAAGGGTTGAAGATCCATCTCACCGTGCCTTGACCACAACTTCTCCCCCCCCACCCCAGGTAACAGGAGCCTCAGGTGTGTCGGGCACAGGCTCAGAGCGATAAGTAGAAAGGGAGATCACCTTTGGCAAGAGTCCCCTTTGAGCTCGTGGACTATGGTACAAGGGCACTGAGCACCAGATAGAGCCTTCCCCCAGGTGCACCTAGGCAAAGGCGTTTGCAGCTGCCACTGAGCACTATCAGGGTGCCCGGAAATAAGGACAGCAGCCAGAGCTCTACAGAAGGCATTCACAGCATGGAGCAGAGGGAGCCCTGAGGGCATGAGGATGAGCAGCATCTGCCATCCCCCAATGCTGGGGTGGTTGGAAGAGGCACAGCAAGGGGCTAGAAGCAGAAAAAGCACAGTATGACCGCTACTAGCAGGACATTCTGGGACAGTGCTGCTGAGGGCTTGTCAAAACAGAATAAAAGGGATGGGGATTACTGGGGAAGAGAAGAATTCCTGAGCCAGCAGCCTCAGGCTTAAAATTGTCACAGTGAGTGCAGGCAGCCAGCCACCCCTCCTCTTGCTAGTTCTGACACCTTTAAAACAGGAATAGCAAAAGCTCATGTCCTGGTCCGTTAAAGAGTTAAAATCCCTATGGGGTGCTGCCTCACCAACCACATTAATTAGCATCAGCTCTGCATATCTGAAGTTGTTTATGCCTTTTAGAGCCATCTTTAAAGGGCCTGAGATTCTTTCACCTATATCCAGATACATCTGACCATTTTCAGTGCTGTTAATCTCCCGCCCCCATGACTTTTCTCTACAGCAAGTCCTCCTCCATGTTACTGAGTGGTGTTTAAAAAAAAGCCTCTACTCACTCTTTTCAGCAGGCCGCTTGCTAGCCTTTATTCCAGGTTGGTGTTCGGAAGAGCAATCACACACCACGGCACATCACTCCAGTGCAGGTCCTCAGGCTTGTCTTCCCTGTAAATTGCACTGCCCCACCATTTTGCAAGACCATTTTCCCTCTCCCTCCTCTGTCACACCTTTCTGGATCCTCTACTGCTGCTCTATCTGTAATAAACCATTTCCCAGGCTGCCTGACAGCACTTGTTCTCTGTGTAGCCTCCCCTCCCTCCCAGCCATGAGGTTTCCATTTCCCCAGCAGTGTGGCTACTTGCTCTGCCCAAGGTCAGCACAAGGCCCAGCTGCTGGCAGCTCTTGCTCACCCCATTCACAGCTTGCTTCACCCTCAGCCACACACTGCTCCTCAGAGTAGCAGCTGCCTATGGTAAAGCTACACAGCAAATGCAAGGTACATATATATCTTATTCATTCTTCAGATGTTCCACACAGGAAGCCTCAGCTGGAGGACGGGAGAAAAGCGAGGGGCTTTCCAGCATCAATCTGTATCCAGACTGGCCCTATGTCCTGGCCCAAGTAAATTGCTCCCACTAACAGGGTCCTCTCCCTGCAGTTTGCAGTTGGGTGCTCCCATTCCTGCTGCTGCTACCAGCCTTTACCAGTGCAGTCTTCCAAAATAGTAAAAAGAAACAGATGCTCCTCCAAACTGAAGAAAAAAAACAAGGAGGAAAATGAAGATGCCCAGAGAAGCTGGCAGGTATGTCCTCCCCAGACATCAGCCACACCGCAGAGCTCCCCATCCACTTCTTTCTGGGAGCACCATGTCACCCCACTGGCAGCCTGTCACCCCACAGCTTTCCCAAGGCGTCCCATTTCTGCCACCAGTGAGGAGCCCCAGCCCAAGCCGCGTGCCTTTCTGTGCCCCACTCACCTGGGCTGCCAAGGTGCAGGATGTGTGCTGGGTGCTGCAGGATGATGGAGAAGCCACCCAGCAAGTCCTCCCGCTATGCTCATGTCCTATAAAGAGGGAGTGGGGTGGCTGGAGGCAGCCAACCAGCTGGGAACAACTTCTGAATATGCAGATGGATGTCCAGGGGTCTGGCCACCTGCCTCAGCATCCCCCAGGCTTACAGAAATGATAACAACGTTGTTGATTCTGTATCTCCCAAAACACATTCAAAAGGACGAGTATTTGGAGAGGAGATACTGCTTTATTCTGGGCAGGGCACAAGGTGGAATATTCCCACAAATCAAGTGCTCTGAGTCTTTATTCTGGCTTCCATTTATAGTCAAAAGTTTTCACCATATGCCTACCTAATACATAAATGACACCTATCCATTACACATTAAAAAGTTTACGTAAGCATAAGGTTCTATAACATATTTGAATCTTCTGTGCTTGTGCAAGGGTCGTCAGCGATTGTTTGGGGAGGCATCCCACTCCTCACTTTATCCGTATTTGGGCACAAGGACATTTAGTCTCTTCTGATTGGTTCCTCTTTTGGACTTGTGTCCTCATCTCAAGGATGCTGTCCCTGTGGGTCTAATTTATGACAGTCTTGAATCTTTGAAGAGAAACATCCCATCTCAGGAAGGTTGTTTATCAGAGATAAGAAAGACATCTGGAACTTAAAGCAGAGCTTCAACCTTGAGCAAAATACCTCAGACAGACAAAAATGTCAAATAATCAGCTTCCGAGACATTACCAGCACTAGGCTGAGCAGACCATCAGTTCCCCATATCCATCATGGCAGAGCACTAAGCAGTGCCTGTCAGGCTCTGCAGCTCAGTCGTGCTGTGGCAGCTGAGAGGCTGAGGCCCATGAGGAGGCAATTCCTGGAGCAGAGAACTCCATCCAGCATCCTCCATGCAACACTGTACGATCACCCCACCAACTAGCACAACCTTGAGAGAGCTGGGAAGCTGCAATTTGATCTGACAGCACCCATCTAGGACTCAAGACAATTAATCATTAATGAGATGACATAAGTACAACAGGCAGAGGCAAGCGGTACCCATGGCCTGGAGCTTCAGGTGAACACAGCTCCTGCTGAAGGTGCGCAGGTGCTTCTGATATTCCCTACTGTGGTGATGCCAGGGGTCCACAGTACAGGAAACAGTTGGGAAGACTTTTCACCATGCGGTGGCTGGACATGGAACAGGCTCCCCAGGGCAGTGGTTGCAGCTCCAAGCTGATGGAGTTCGAAGAGCATTCAGACAATGCTCTCAGGCACAGGGTTTGAATTTTGGGTGGTCCCATATGGAGGCAGAAGTTGAACTCAGTGATCCTTGTGGGTCCCTTCCAACTGGGGACATTCAGCAAAAGTCAGTACCTTGCTGATTGTCGGGAACTCGAGAGATATTCCTACCACCAGCACAACCCAACCTCTGCTCCAGGATGGAGCTGCTTGACGTTTGGTGTGGGAGGCAAAAGCAGATGGAACTCCTGGAGCTAGACAAAACCAAATTGCCTCTGCCATTTCCAGGTTGTCATCTACCTCATCTCCACGTACTTAATAAATACTGTGATGATTGTTTTATTCATTTGGTAGGCAGGTGACTGTGGTTAAAAGCAGTTGACACCAGGCAGTCCTGCTCAAGGGTCTCAGCCCTCTACAGACAAACTGCAGAGAAACCCCTGGCAGAGAGCCTTTCTGGCACAGCTGCTTTGTTTTAAAGCAGTCAGCACATCTTTGAAGCCTCAGAGACAACACCCTATTGATTTTTCTTCAATCTTTTTTGAAAATCTCACCAAGAATGTTCATTGCAGATTTATTTTAGGAGACTATTTTGAAGGTTGCGGTTTACCACTGATGTATTATTAACCAACAGCTATATTAAGGACGTGTGTGTAACCTTCAGAGATGCTGATTGCCAGACAGAGTTCTGATTTTCCTGGGCTACTTCTCAGAGACTGCAGTAACTTCTCTGCATTTTATTTCAACAACCATTTCTTGCCTGGAAGTAGGCAGAAAGCAGAAGGTAACTGGGGCACCCTCAGACATTTTCAAAACGTGGACCGTGTCTTAGGAGTGGGACTGGGCACCACTGAAAGAGCCTAGCCCTGTCTTCATTGCATCACATCAGGTCTAGCTAGATTCTCCGTGACCTGTTGTATTCCTTTCCAATGAAGCCTACTTAAATCCTTTTGCCTGTTTTTGTTTGCTTGTTTCTATGTGTGGTCTGTTGTTTTGTTTTTCCCCACACTTATTTCTCTGTAGCAGTGAGGTGACCTCCTTGCCCATTTCTAATCAAACTGACGTTTGCAGCAGCGAGCCCGACGGCAGGACGCAGCAAGGTGAGCAGAAAGACCGCCAGAGCTGCTTCCCTGCAGAAAGCCACACCCAGATTCCACCAACAGTCAGGAACCGTGCCCGTGCAGACCCAGGTGAACAGCAGCCCCGGCAGCCCAGCCACACTTCAGAGCCGGACACACGCCCACCCGCCTCGGACAGCAGCAGACCACGCAGCGGCTCCACAGCCGGCCCGCGAGATAGCACCACTTCCCCCGCCCCGCAGCCCCCCCGGCACCCGCCACGCCCCGCTCCCCCCCCGCCGGAGCGCTTGGTGCGGTCTTGCGCACTTCCGGCTCTCGCCGGGCCTGCTTCCGGTGTCCGCCCTCCAGCTCCTCCCGCCACCGCCGCGATGCTGCTGCTGTGGCGGTCGCGCTGCTTGGGCCGGGCGCTGGGCCGCTCGGTGCGCACCCTCCGGCAGGTACGGCCCGGCGCGGCCCGCCCGCGGGGAGGGCGAGGGGCGGGCTGCCGCGGCACTTGGGCGGGCGGGCTCGGCGGCGCCAAGGACACCGGGACGCGCCCGGCTCGGCCCCGCCACCGCCGCTCCGGGGCGGGGGCACCGCGGGTGGCGCGGCCGCGGTGTTGAGTCCCGGCGGCGGGGCGGGCTGTCCGCCTTGGCGGAGGCGCCGTGACTGTGAGGGAGCCCTCGGCTCGGCCGCTCCCCTCGGCTCTTCCCTTCTGGCTCTTCCCTTCCTCCCTCCGCGATTCCCTTCTTCTTTGGTGCGGGAATTGCAGGTGGGCTGTTGGCTGTGCCCGGAGTTATGCACACGGATACACGTGTGTACGGTGCACCGTAAGCGGTTTGTAACTGCGTGTTATGGTTATGTTCGTAACCGTGCTGGTGTATTTGTGGTGACACATTACTTACCGTGCTTGTTTAAGTGGCGTTTTTATAATAGTTATTTTTTTTATCAGCAGTTATGGTGCTGTGTAATTATGCAGAACAGGGAGGAGAGGCACATGGAGAATACGGACTTTTTCAAAACCGGTTTGCATGGAGAGAGGCCACAGCTAAACGGCAAGTGGGCAGTGAGTTGTGGTTAGCCTGCTTGAGGTGGAGGAAAAAGTGGTAAGCTGAGAGGTGAAGGAGGTAGTAGCAGCTTGACATCTCTTGGAGTAGGGATGTGGGGAGTAAGTGCTGATGTGGAGATAACATGGGGCTTGGGGGAACTGTAGAAAGGAATGCTGGAGCATGGCAGGCCTCTGCTGGGAGAAGTGAAAACAACAGACGTGGACAAAATTCAGAAGTGTCCAGCTGAATGGAAGAACGGTGAAGACAGCAAGAAACAGCATGCGAAGGGAGGGGACAGCTGGGTTTAATGCTTAGGAAGAAGGAGGGGTCTGTGTTCATACATCAAGTAGAAATCATGCAGGTGCCACTGAGGCTCCTGCCCCGACAAGTCAGATGCGGTGGCAGAAGGGTGAGCCAAGGCAGTCCCAGGAGGACCAAGAGGTTCTGAAGAGGGATGATGTGATGGGCAGCTGTCATTCATTCACACTTTGGAGGTGAAGTCCTCGTGTTTCTCTGGGGAAGAGTTTGTTAAGAACTTCCTCCCTCGCTTATCCCCTCCACATGCTACAGGAGCTGTCAGCCTGTTGTCTTAGTAACTGTATCCCGTACCCACTGTGAATTGTTATCTCTCCTATCTTTGCATCTGCCTTGCTGTGCTATATATAATTGTGTTAAAGACGCACGGTGGGTTTTCTGTGTACAGCGTTGCTTTGCATCCATCCTTGCTAGTAAAGCAGCAGCCACAATGCTTTGCAGAAGCCATGGCTGGCAAAATGATTGCTGCTGTCAGAGCTGCTCAGCACTAGGGTCTCACTGTGGCTCTGTGCAATGGGCTTCATGCTCCTGTTGAAGTAGGGTCCTGCCCCGACCTGCTCCCTGTTTCCACCACTGCAGAAGAGGTTTGCAGGCATGCAGGCTGTTGTCTTAGCAGACATACACTATAGTTGATTTATGTGTGTGGTGACCTGCTAGAAGGTGACAGCTCCTTGAAGGTGTAGCCTGAGTTGCCACGTGGTGGGGTCACTTTCACATAACAGCAGCGTGAAAACAATTCTGAGAAGTCACGTGTAACTGGGGGAAAGTTTTAATCACTTGTGTGAGTCAGTAGCAAATTAGAACAAGACTTGCTTCTCCAGAGGAACGCTGCTTCCTTACACTGACCGAGGATGCTAACAGCAGCTGGTGAAACCTACAGTTTTCGTATTTTACCAAAGATCTGACACGTGACACACGTAGCCAGGTGATTTCAGGAACAGGTACAATCACAGCGATTCCTTCAGGGGAAAAAAGGGATCGGGAAATAAGCTTACGGGGCATCTCTCAGAGCTGCATGTGCTGGCACACTGTGGTTAGGGGTGGGTGCACAGCAGTTCTGCAGAACACAAGGCAGAGAGCATCTCAGTGTCTTTCTTTACAGCTTCTCAGACCGGTAGAGCTCTTCTCTCACTTCTTTCCTAGGGCAAAGCGAAGCTATGCCATTTTTTCTTTATTTTGCAGCAACTGTAGCACACAGGCTTGGCCCTTCTCCTGGAAGAGAGCTGCAGATTTGCTTTCTCACAGCCATTTACTTTAGCACAGACCTTTTAAACTTGTTTTTTTTTAACCTTATACTAAGACCTTTACACTGGTGCTGTACTTTTTCTTAATGAATTACTGTCTGGGATGCTTGGATTACCTTTACAACTTTATAGAGTACCCAGGAAAACATTAAAGGACAGAGGGGAGCTCATATTCCTTGATATTTTATTTGAGATTAACTTCAGTATTATCTGAGACATTACAGAAATTGAGGGGGACTTGACCAGCGCAGGTGCTGGCACGTACTGAGGCTTGTGGTGCTTTAGGCACACAACCAGATGGAGTTAGCAGGAGGTTTGTCTTAGTGATCCTGGCTTAGAACTGTCTCTGCATGAACTGGATCAATGCTAGCAGTGCTGGGCTGAGGCTAAGCAGTGTAGCACTCAGGATGGTGCAACACCTCTCTCTTCCTTCTCCACATGCCCTGCTGGTTTTGCAGAATCTCGTGTCTAGGATGTTGGGCCCAAGGTGGGCTGCTGCATGGAGTGGTGCTGCAGCTGATGGGCTCTGCCAGATCCCAGCTGGCACAGCAGCCAGGCTGTGCATCCTCAGCACGGCTGATTTGCAGCCATGTCGAGCTGCCCATAGACAATTGAATTGACTGCACATTAATATCTGGGAAGCCAAACCCGTCCTTGAGTTTGGATAATTGATCTGCCAAGGGGCCAATTTCAGAACCGTTAAATAGTTTTGATGATGTGAGGTGTTTGTTGAATGTACTTTAGCATGTTATACCACCCAGTCCTGTAGCTGATAAGACACAGGATTAAATATCTCTTTGGTCCCTGATGTTTCTGCTGTCTGTGACACACATCTACAGAAGTTATTTTGGCATTCAACTGTATCCCATTTTTCTTGCTCTGGTGATACTGAAGTTGGGGTTTCTATATAAACCTCCATCCTGAAACAGACGTTTTGAATGACATCTGATTTTTACCTTCTGTATTTGCTGCTGGATTAGGATGCTTTGAGCTGTTTAAACCATCGTCAATCACATTTCAGTCATGAGTATAGTGATATTTTCCTATAGATTGTGAAGAATGTTTTGGTTCTCCAGATCTGCAGGTTTGGTGCCAGTGAAAGGTGGGTCAGTGATTACTGGGTATGAAGCAAAAGGTCACAAGGAGGTGGAGTCCCCAGCTCACTGTAGGCAGAAGGAGTTAGGCTGTCGAGGAAAATTCTGACCTTCTGGAGTTCAAAGACCCTATAGCCTTGAACAACCAAGAAAACGGTGCTAAGTGCTAGGTTCTGTAACCGTGGGACTGGTGGAGCCCTTCTGGTCCAGGTCTCTTAGGAAAACCAAAGCTCCTCTAGGTTGGGGCTGCCTTTTCGCAGTACTGACATTCTTCTCTCTGACAGGGCAACTGTACTCTGGCAAGGCGCTCCCTGTCTGGTAAGTCTTATGTTTTGTATTTAACTTCAAGTTAATCTAGGCAGAGGTGCTTATTTATTGATAATTGGATTTATTAAGAGTTATTTCTATCAATCATACAATGAAGCAACGTGTGCCCATATGAGTGCCTCTCTTGCCTAGTGTAAATGCCACCCAATGCATCCACCCAAGGTAGAGATTTCTCAGTAGCAGTGCTGTATTTCAAGCATTGTAATGCTTACAACATTTGCTGTTGCAGAGACCAGCTCTCTGATAAACTGCTTTGAAAATTTGGGTGAATGTTAACTGAAATGTCAGAGTGAATATGACCACAAAGTCGTCTGGTGTTTAAACTGCATTTTCTCAGAGCTGTGCTACCTTTGTATGGGATTACATCACTTCCCTTTGAGTCTGCTTTGAGAAATGTGTTAAATCTGCTTATCTTTCCTGGCTATAGAATTCCAGTGTTATTAGCTTTCAGTAGGGGATGGTATCAATATTGTATTACCTTTCTTAAAGATCAAGTGGAGAAATGCTGCTTCTTTTTGGTGTTGTGTAATTGAGATAATTACATTCTATAATTGCTATACTGATTCTCTTTAAGATCAGTCTGGAAATAGGTCCAGTGCCCTGAAAGAGGCAAAGGACAGGAGTTCAGTAAGTAATAAGAATTGCTGTGTCAGGGCATGTAAGCAGTGTGGCAAGGGGTCACTGATGCCTAGAAAACCCTGAGAAGCTGTGCAAATATCTTCCCCATTTTGAATTATGAAGCAGACTTGTTCTTGGGTCAGTGGGTGAAGAGAGAAGAGGGGTGGCAGTGACTCACTGCTCTGCCCTGTACCCCATTTTGAAGGCATTTTTCCTCCTTACTGTTCCATGCAATTGTGAGAGTTCTAGAGAGCACCTCTTAGGGGATTGCCACTTTCTCCTGCTAGGAATCCCTTTGTGTTGGTGGGGAGAGCTCACCAGCAACTGAGGTTTTAGCAGTCCTGAGGACTGGGTGATGTTCCTGTGGGTAACACCTTTCTCATTCACAGGTGTGGCTGGCAGCCAGGGACTGGCCTACATTGACAGCAGGAAGCTCATGTAAGTATCCGTAGGAGAGCTGTGATATGCAGGGGATCTAACCGTGATAACATTTGGAAGCTGGAAGGCAGAATAAAGTCAGCTGTCAGAAAATCTTTGTGCATTTCTGAGGAGCATGGAGGGGGAAAAAAAAAAATTGGGTTCTCTGGCTTTTGCAGGTCAGGAACTTTGTATGTTTCAATAAAATAAGGTCTGTCTGGAACCAGATGTCAAGGCAGGATGGGCAGGAATGAAGAGAGCAGTGGTTAATCAATTTCTTCCCATTGTTCTTATGATTGTGAATGCTCTGTGGTAGCCTCCCAGTAGGATTTCTGTTGGACACATGACGAGGTGGTCTCCTGCAGGAGGAGTGGGATGGCTCGGGGAGCTCTTGTTCATATGACAAGGTCTGCATTGCTGAGATGGTCTCATCATTTCCACAAATACTTTTTTTTTTTTTAACCTTAAGAGTGCATCCAAGAGCTTGATACACTGGTCTGCTTGCACCAAACAGCCTGTGGTAGAGGAAATGCTAAAGCACATTTGCTTCAAGTTTCCAAATACAGTATCCACAGGTATAAAAAACATCTGTGCCAGCTCCCTGTGAAGAGGAATGGTGGAGGGAAGCAGTTGTCTCTTGAATGCTTTGCCGTTGCCATTTTATGGTGCTTTCTCTTCTTCAGACTTTTTTTAGAGGTAAAAAATGGTTCCTGTGATCACATCCTAGGCATGCAGTAGGCTGAGTAGGTCAACCTTTTACCAGTATTTAAAACACAGCAGATATGTTGGGATGTCTCTGTAAATTAAAATTCTGTAGATGTCACTTCACGCTGATTTTCTGAGAGCACTACTGAATTGTTTCCATGCTTCTTGGTTGGATTTTTTGCCCCTTGATCAGGTAAGTGGGAGTCCTTTTGAACCAATACATTTGAACAGCTGAGCAGCCTTCAGATTAGTTAAACAAGCAAATGTAAATTTTGAGCTTGAGACTGGTGCTGGCAGCTTCCACAGGAACTTGCTGCTTATTCTGTGTTCATATCTTATTTTCTTTCTCTCTGCAGAGTAAATAGCTCCAGTGTCTTCACTGTCCGTTACTTCAGAACCACAGCAGTACATAGTAAGTAAAGAGGCAGGAGTCAGTGGGGTGACTCTCATGTTACCTGTAGCTGTTCTAACAACAGCTGAAGCTGCCTTTTCCACCCTTGGTCTAAATTCATTGCTGTCACACTTGGTTGGGCACAGAGCCCTAAAGATTTTGTCTGCTTCTTCTGTCACATTGTGACTTACAACTTACAGTCAGGTGAGGTTTTCTCTCATGTTCAAATCTTAATTGTTACTGAAGCAAGGAGAAGGTCAGCTGGCTTGAGTGCACTCACTCTCCTGGAGTCCTGGCGACAAGAATGAAGAGGTGCCAAAAGTTTTGAGCTCTGAATGTGTTCAAGTCTATCTGTCTGTCTCTGTCACAGGGGATGACGTGGTTACGGTGAACACCCCAGCTTTTGCAGAGTCAGTCACAGAAGGAGATGTCAGGTGGGAGAAAGGTAAATAGTTGCCTCTTCCCTGCGATTCTCAGTACCGTTTCTTCTGCACTGGACAGCTCAGGGATGGACTGTAGTTAACTGGCTGACCATTTTATATTCTTCAGTCTGTGACAAACAAGGCAGTTAAGGTTAATTACAGTTCCCCTGCAGAGTAAGGATTGCAATTACTGCTTCAGTTCCTCTGTCTTGAGTAATGTTGGATGAAGAGAGATGTTTAAACTGGAATTGGACTCTACGCAGTAGATAGTTTGAGTTACACTTTTCTTTAGAACACGTGGAAAACTGGGGTGAAAAAATTCTGGGTTAGTGGGAAACTGCTGTGGGTTAAGAGGGGAGGCTGGAGCACACCTCCTTCCTCACAGTGGTCTTCATATCTATCATTCAGCTGTTGGAGACACAGTGGCGGAAGATGAAGTGGTGTGTGAGATTGAAACAGACAAGGTAGGAGTTCTCTGGACCAAAACGTTTTCTGGTTCACTAGTGAGTACCTTGTGTGGCTCCTCTCCAGCTGAGCCTGTACATCCTGCCTGTCTCTCTTGCTCCCTTCACAGGGACAGACTTTTCTCCATTTACTATGAAAGCAGGCTGTACCTGAAGTGAGAATTGCTTGATAATTCCTTCCTTCCTCATACACTTGATTAAGAATCAGAGGAGCTGATGTTTGTAGGATCTGTAATTTCACTCCCTCCTGTTAGGGTGCTGTCACCTTGGAAACCTGTCTGTGTTTGAACAGGAGAAATCTGCAGAGCAATTTGGTATCTTCAGGCTATTTTAAATTTAACCATTAAGTTTACCCCTTAAAATACTCTTAGGCTTTGAAGCTTGTGCTGAAACTCCCTGCCAAGTTCTTTTTCCAGTGTTGTTGTCAGGAAGATGCTGGCAGTAGGTCAGTTCTGCATTGTACCTTGAAGCAGGAAGATCAGACTGTATGATCTACTATCAGCATCTTCCACACTTCTAAGTGTTGGCACAAAACCCTGCTGAAGGGCATGCAAACTGGTGGAAATGGTGCAGGACAGAGCTGCTCTCTGTGCCAGACTACAATGCGTGTGCCTATTGGCATCTTTGCTTGGGCACTCATTCCTCATCCAGTATTTGGGAGAATTTAAAGACTTTCCTTTTTACAGACATCATTGCAAGTTCCAGCCCCAGCAGCTGGTGTGATTGAAGCCCTTTTGGTACCTGATGGTGGCAAAGTGGAAGGGGGGACACCTCTGTTCAAACTCAGGAAAACTGGAGGTAAGTTTGGGGTTTAACTTGCACTTACCTTCCCATTTCAACCAGTTTTTTGGGTGTTTTTTTTTTGTTTGTTTGTTTTTTTTTAAACAGTGATGTGCTGAAAAAAAAAAACAAACAGACAAATGTAATTGCAGTCTTTCTGAGAGGGAAACTTGCCTTTTCCTTATTCTGGAGGAGACTGCAGTACTAAGCTAAAATTATCCGAGAATTCCCCTCACATACCTCCGTTCTTCACCCTCTTTACTATCCAGTCTTCTGCACAGTGAGGAGATCTAGGGTGTTGATGAGATGAAACACCATGGGATCTACATGGGGTGGCTCCTATCAGTTTATTAGTGTAGAGTGTATAAAGGCAAAATGCTAGAGGATTGACTTCTGTCAGGTTGGTTTGGCTCAGAGGTCCCTGGCAGTAGAAGCTGTGGTTGCTCTTATAATAATTGTTCTTCCTTTTTTTTTAGCTGCTCCTGCCAAGGCCAAACCAGCAGCAGCCCCTCCTCCTCCTCCTGCAACACCTGAACCTGTAGCTGCAGCTCCTCCTCCTCCTGCTGCAGCACCAATTCCAACCACAATGCCACCAGTGCCACCTGTGTCAGCTCAGCCCATTGACAGCAAACCAGGTGAGGCAAGAGCCACTTCCTCTTATTTTAAAGCCTCTTTTCCATGGGGAGTGTTGGTAAAGTTAAAGCCAACAAACTGGCTGTATAGTGGAGGCCTGTCTGGAGAACTCAGCTGTCCCTGAGGCTGCCCAGCCAATGCAAGGCTGCTTAGGCACCCTAAGCAAGTGGCTTGAACAGGCCTTCTGTCTCTCAGGCATTGCCCTCAGCCCCTGGTTTTCCTTTTTGACTGATGTCTTCTTTACTCCTCAGTGTCTGCAGTGAAGCCGGCTGCAGCTCCAGTGGCAGCCCCTCCTGGGGAGGCAGTGCCCAGCAAAGGTGCCAGATCTGAGCATAGGGTAAGCTGTGGGAATAGGGGCCTTGCTGGTTCTTCTCTTGCCGGGTGATGACTTGTTTTGGCATAACCTGTGAACTTGCTGAATGAATCTGAATATATCTGTTCACGTTCAACTTGTCAGGGTTGTGACAGATTGGGAAATGCTTTACATGAGATGACCACTTGGAGGTGGCATGAAGAGAGCCAGGTCTGATCTCATGTTGGTCTTTTCTAGGCAAAAATCTTGTCCTCAGCTCTGCTGACTGAGCACAGACAGCTCCACGAGATCTGCCTGGTCTGTGCACAAGCCCTCAGCAAAGGGCTGAGGGCGCTACAGCTATCTTGTACCTTCTTAAGAAAACTTGATGGAGCAGTCTGCTTTCTCAGCTGTTTTGCTGCTCTTATACTAGCCTTATGCTGGAAATTTGACTGTACTTGGCATTTCTGAGAAACGGGCAGGTCAGAGCAGTTCTACTGTGATGCATTTCAATTCTGCAGTTCAAATGAACTTTTAGTCAAGCTGGGCGACCGATTTCTCAGCTCCTTCTTCAAGGAGACCTGAGGTGAAAACCTTGGACGTTTTACTGGTCAACCAGATAGCAAGAAGGGCCTTTTTTGTTTCTTGTGTGTTTTGCCTCTTGTGTGAACTTGAGGCAGCTTCTGCTTATTTCTTTTTAATTTTCAGGTGAAAATGAATAGGATGCGTCAGCGTATCGCCCAGCGGCTGAAGGAGGCTCAGAACACTTGTGCCATGCTGACCACTTTCAATGAGATCGATATGAGGTGAGGAGCAGACCTGTTGTTTTTAACCTTTGCTAGTAGAAATACATGAGGGCAGTCATCTTTAAATAGCAGCTGAGACCATGCTGATTGCATTTGGAAAGGCTAACAGTGTCTTCTGGCACCTCTTCCTTAGACTTTTCCCCGACCTGTGCGTTTTCATCTGAGCTATGCTGGTGTTGCAGCAGGAAGGGTGCATAGCTTCCTGCTGGGCTTTCATTCCTCTGGAATCATCTATTGCTTGTTAAAGAGGCAGCCCAGTTCCTCATCTATGTGGTTTGTAGTGGAGGACTAGTAGATGTTGAACAGATGAGCATGAGTGAATGCTATCAACTGGACAGTGGCTATTAGGAGACACCAAAAGCACCTGCCAGGTTACTGCTTTTGCAGGTGGGCATATTTGGCCACCCATGAGGTAGTTCCCCAGAGCTTCTCACATGAGCATTGCACCCGTCTGCAGCCCTTGTTGTCAGATGGTTCAGCTTTCCAGAACAGACTGAGGTCCTTCTCCCTCCCCTCTTGGCAGGTGGGGGTCTTCTTACTCAAGTGCTTGCATGGACTGAGCACTCTAATGGCTTTGGAAGGTGGGCAGCTTATGTTACAGTGCATTAGGGGGAAATTGTGCCCAAATCAAATTGCCTTTTGAAATCCTATTCCACTCCTTAAGACAAAACATGTAAATATTTGGGTCTCAAAACAATAAGGTTGGCAAAATAGTCTTGATTGGAGGGGAAGTGCTTCAGAGTTATCTCCTCTCTGAGGTTCATTGAGGTGTCGCTTTACGCTGGCCTCGGGCTCTCATTGCATCTGGTAATCTGGTTTGGATTGATTGCTGTGCTGACGACTCAAGAGGGTCTGAGCTTGGGCCTCCTGCTTCCCGTTGGGGGTCAGCATCTGAAAGGAGTAAGCTGTAATGAGTCACTTTCATAGCAAACCTTGTCCTCATTGCTGCAGTCCTTGTGTCTTGGGAGGCACTAATGTCTTTGGGCAGTAATCCTAGCCCTAAACAAGGTTAGGTGCAGGAAAACAAACACTCTAAACCACAGAGACCCCTGCTCCTTGCTGACACCGTCTCTTCAAAGACTTAAGGTCTCTGGAATCAGGAGAGATGAATCAAGCAATTCCACAGCATCTGTATTATCCTAGAATAGGCAGAGCTCATTTCTTTTTGTAAACATTCTCATCTCTGATAATCATAAGCAGGGAGGGAACAGGAGTTACCTGCTTGAAGGCTGCGGCAGAGCTGGCACTTGGCTTCATAGCATCTGGGAACAATTCTTTCATATTCATTCAATTCCCAAAGTCAAAGAGTGGGGCTTCAGAGATGTCACTGCACTGGCTAGTGCTGGGCTTGTGCAATGGTTGAAGTCTTCTACCTCTATCATTACCTGCATCTTTTCTTCTTTTGGCATTTTTTTCCTGTGTTTTTCATTTTTCCAGATGCATCTGGGCTGACCCTGGATTTGCTTTCGGCAGTGCCACACTGCAGTGGTGGCTCCAGAGTTTCAGCAGAAGTATTTGCAGCTTTATCAGGTCTAAGCAGGAAATATGCCATGCCACATCTTGCTTTTGTGCCTGGCAGCACAAGCCTTGTAAACCTATCCTGTTGAGGTTAGGGTCCAGAAGCAGTTCCCGTTAGATCTTTTGGCAGGGGCTTTGGAGCAACCATCAGCCCATTTCACCTACACCTCCTAAAGGATTTTTCAGGACGCTGGAAGTTTGCCAGTTGGTAGTGCAAGTTTGCAGTCCTTGGGATGGCACTGAGATCTGTTACAGAGTGAGGAAATGGCATTTTCCTGGACTCCCTGCTGACCACTGTTGTAACATGTTTTGCAGCAACATCCGGGAGATGAGAGCTGTACACAAGGATCCTTTCATGAAAAAGCACAACCTGAAATTAGGTTTCATGTCAGCTTTTGTGAAAGCTTCAGCTTTCGCTCTGCAGGACCAGCCTGTTGTGAATGCAGGTGAGTGGTGATCCTCACTGTAAGTCGTATATCTTACCAGTGAATGTGCCAGAGTGGGCAAAAAGCAGGTGGCCCAGTCCAAGGCAGGGCTGTTGGCATGGATAAGCAAGTCAAATACAAGATGAAGAGAGGACAAAGTCCTTCAGGCTGTTGCTGATGTTGCTAATGCCACTTACGTAGGTAAAGTACATGTTGCCAAACGTCCTATTAGCAAGGGTTGCTGGGGCTGGGGCTGTGAGTGCTAGATGTCTTAGCCCAAAGAAAGCTGAGCCTGCTGCTTGGTGTAGTTGCTGTAGGTGCAGTGCAGTTCCTGGTGAGTGTCAGAGGTGTTTGCTCAAACCCAGAGGAGGAGAATAATCAAGGCAATGTCTGAGTGGCACTGACCTCTATGTGCTATGATTCCTTTCTGTATATCCTGATACTTCTCCCATAGAAGCAGTGAGGACACACTTTCTATAGTTAAGCAAGTTGTTATTATTTGTGGCTATTTCTGGCCTGTTAAGCTTTTGATCTTTGGGTACTGCATGTGTAACGTACCTTTTTCTTTTCTTTTTTTTTTTTTCTTTTAGTAATTGATGACACGACCAAAGAGATTGTGTACAGGGACTATGTGGACATCAGTGTAGCTGTAGCAACTCCCCGGGTAGGTACCTTAGGTGCTCTGCGCATGCTTCCTGTAGCCTTGGGTCTGGGATGGTCATATGCTTTGAGCCAACACAGCTTGCAGCAGAATCTTACTGATGGGACTGCTTATCTAGATGAGACATCTGATGTATTTTTTTTATCTGATGACTGTTGAGGTGAGTTCTGGGAGAAGGTGAAGGACAAAGAACATTTTGGCACTGTGCTTAAATGTGTAGTAACAGGGTCAATAAAGATCTTGGTGGTGGTGGAGTAGAGCCAAGTTAGAGAAACCTGTTTTTCTTGCACTTGTGAGAATATGGTATGGACACTAAAAGCTTTGTATGTTCTGACTAACTCTGCTGTTTTGTCCCACCATTTCTGTAAATCATATTCCTGCTCAGAACGGAAAAAGGTGTTCCTGCAGAAGGGAGAGTATGGGATGGAACTCATGCTGAATTAGTTCTTTCCATTGTAAGACAGAGGTCTGGCCAGGACTGAAGTTCTGTCACTGCTCTCAAAGTCTAGGGGAGCTCCCACATGTAGGGACTCTGTTCTTCTCACAGAGAAAGAGATGACAGCTGCCCAGTGCCTCACTCACTGTGGTGGATGTGGCCTGGGGATATGGACAGTCCTGGCTGAATTTATATGACGGGTTTATAGGCAAAGACAACGTTTCATTCACTGTACAGGGCCTTTGTGGGTGCCATGCCAGGTTTTCTGGCAGGCTGACAGAATGTGAGGCAGCTGTGCCAAGCACCTGCTGTGGGCTGAGCAGGAGGCAGGAGTGGTGCTGGGTTGGGCCAGGCTCCTGCCCAATAGTGGTTATCTACTTGTCACTGCCATTAATTTGCTGATTGTGCACTTTGCTTCTTCCTAGGGTCTTGTGGTCCCTGTCGTTAGGAATGTAGAAAATATGAACTTTGCTGACATAGAGCGAGCTATCTATGAGTTGGGGGAAAAGGTAAGAAAGGCGGCTGGAGGTGTTCTTGGAAAAGATTGGGAGGGTGCTGGATAGGCATGAATTGATTTGATCCCCTTGTGGCATCGTCTCTGACCTCTGACACATGGAGTTATGTTGTAGGGAACGATCCAGTTACAGCTGTAGCTGTGCCCATGGCTTACAGGACAGACCTATGTACTTGTTGCCCTTCCAGAAGACTTCCCACTATGTATTAGTGATATGCTGTGTCTTCACCATTCCTTTTGGAGGCCAAGGCTGAACTGCCCTGGGATAAGTCCCTCTTATCTGTTTCCTGCACAAGCAGGATTTGGAATCAAAGGCAAAAAAAGTCTTCCGCAAAGACAGCAAATATTTGAGTCTTAAAACAGAATGCGTTTTCAAGTAATTGATGCTGGTTTTCAGCTGAACAAATAAGTGAAGCTCTGGCCATCAGCATTTGTTGAGAGGCTGAACGTTCAAACCCTTGTCCTTTGTCATTTGTGGTCTGAGTGGCTTTCTGAGACCTTACCTTTCCTCTAGGCACGGAAGAACGAACTGGCTATTGAAGACATGGATGGTGGCACTTTCACAATCAGCAATGGAGGGGTTTTCGGGTCACTCTTTGGGACACCTATCATCAACCCACCGCAGTCTGCTATCTTAGGCATGCATGCCATCTTTGACAGGCCTGTGGCTGTGGGAGGCAAGGTAAGTGGAGCTGCACAGGAGATTTCAGTGAGTAGAGAGGAGTGCTCCGTGGGATGAGGATCATGCCCAGTACGCTGTTTCTAGGGAGGGTGATGTCGCTTTTATGAAAGGCTTCACTGTGAAGGAGGAACAGAGACTAAAAGATGAAAGGGCAACTTTGCTGGCACTGGTACTTGCCTGAGATGTGCAGAGAGCCTTGCCCCAATCGAAAGGGACACAGCTGAATAACTGCTAGGGTGTGGAAAGGAGGAAGGGGCTGTAGTCTCTGTGATAGAGAGCAGCTCCAGAGAAGCGACCAAGCGTTGTGCAGTGCAGGCTAAGCTAGTGCTGGTGCCTGGGTTGAATGAGCGGTGTGAATTGTGCCATGCGGTGTTCCGAGCCCCTGATTCAGGACAGGAGAATGCCAGGTCTTCCCTAGATTGAGAGGAGGGTATCCTGCAGGCAGCAGGGCTGAGCTCGCTAATACCCGTCTTGTTCTCCCCCTTCAGATCGAGATCCGGCCCATGATGTACGTGGCACTGACCTACGATCACCGGCTGATTGATGGCAGAGAGGCAGTGACTTTCCTGCGCAAGATCAAGGCAGCGGTGGAGGATCCCCGCGTGCTGCTACTCGACCTGTAGAGCAGTCACACCCCCCACACAACCCACCCAGGGCATAGACGCAGCACCAGCAGGGGCGCAACGCAGGGCATTCAGGGACTGGCTGGGGTCATTCCAGTCTCCCTCCCACCCCTGAGATCAGAGATGTCCCAGAGGGAACTGGGAGGATAGCTCCTACCTCCTTTCCTGTTCTGTTTAACGGATGGTTCAGCCTCTCACTAGGATTGCCGTGCAGTGGGCCGACCGCTGAACGGCACTGCCTTTTTGGAGCCATCTGTGTGGCATCCTCTCCCTCACGGCACCAAACTCTCACCTCTAGCTTGTCCAATACCACTGGAAAGTGCTTGCTGCTGCTGTGCTAGGGTATCCTTTCCTGCCACTCCAGGGTGGGTTCAGCTTTATTTCCTAGCACTGAGGTTCTGGGAGGGGAGGGAGAGGAAAGGCTACTGTTCTGTCCCCGTTTTGCTTGAAAATATATCACACTCATCTGCCTTGCAAGGGCAGCCTGGGTTCCCCCAGGCCAATTGCAGCAGAGTTTTTGATCAGAGCAGTGCTGAGGTAGGTGTTGTGCCCCTGGCAGTGCTCTAATTACACTCCCTCCACAGACTGGAATGCAGTGGTTGCATCTCCCCTGCTTTTCCTTGGAGATCGTCTGTCTCTCTCTAGCCTGGCCACTGAGACATGAATGTTCCTGGCCAAGTAGGCAGAGCCCATGATCCCTGTGGAGGCAGCACTGTTCCTGGGGATGGGAGGCCACCCTTTCACCATGACATGCCCAACACTAGGCTAAGAAACAGCCCGCAGCAGCTGTCCTTGAATCACAGCGTACTGATGGATGGGTCTGCGTGTGAGGGCTTGGCCTGCTACCATCAGAGAGCTGCGGGGGGGGAAGGGAGGGCTGGTCTGCAAGTGTAATGTATATCCCAGCCCAAGGCTGCTGGTTTTGGGGGGAGGGGGGACAGTCCTTAATCTGATAGCGCACACATGTAATGGGGAGTGAGGGGGTTGCTAGTGCCTGCAGAGTCTATTACTCTTACCCTCTACACTGAACTTGTAACTAAAATATTTAACACAGCGGATTTTAAATGAAATAAAACTGGTCAACAACTGCAAGGTGGGCTGTGTTTGGGGAGGTAGTTCCTGAGAGAGGCCTTGGGCATTGGCAGCCTCTGTAGCACAGCATGAACAGCCCGTTCTCTGGGAGTGAGAGGAAGGGAACTGGAGCTGGGTCTTTCCGTGGTGATAGTAAATGGAAGTTTCTCTGGCTCTGAACTCTCCTGTTCTCAAATCCTCTGGCATAGAACTGTCTCTTACCAGAAAATACGAGAAAGCATCTTTTTCCATATTTCTTTGTCTATTGACAGCAAAGAAATCCCAGCATTTTCTAAGTGGTGTGATGGCCAAGAACGAGAACTGGGACAAGCTCTCAGTATGGTTCTGGAACCAGGTTGGTTTTCCCTGGTAGAACGGGGGTTGTAAATTGTGGAAGTGAGAAAAAGGGTATTAATGGTTGCGCAGGCAAGAAATGTAAACCGAAAGTTGTTTCTCGTTACGGGCACTGAGGGCATTTCTCCAAGGAGCTGTCTGTCTTGGAACATTAAGAAACCATTCCTGGATTGTGGTAGGGGTTTCCCATCTCTGACATAAGCTTCAGAGAATGGTTTGCCTTTACCAGCTATGAGTAAAGGCAGTCTCTTCTGAGAGAAAACTATTGCATGCACAGCTGCATTGCTGATGAGAGAATTTTCTAGTACTTGTTCCTACTGCTTCCTGGCAGCTAAGGAGAAATAGATGTGTGGCATCAGCTTTCCTTTGTGCCTGACTGAGATAGGTTAGGAGAGGAGAGAAGGGGGGAGGAAAAACCCAAACCCTATGCTATGAGAAGACCAGCGTGGTCAGCTGCTGTTGCAAAAATAAACGGAGTGAAAGAGAAGGTTCTGATTTTAAAAATGCTTCCCATGCACCTTCAGAATACAGCAGGGCATCCGTACCTGTGTACATGAAGCTGTATTCTGTTTAGAGTGTGGCCTTTGAACCCCGCAGGCTCTTACACCAATCCAGGGCAACCTGGTTGACTGACTCTGCCTCGCTTGCTGTAGGAGGCTCGAGCAGCTGCTGTGCTTGGAGCTTCGTTTTGTGTGACCCTTCTGGGTGACTGCGAAGGTGCTGCGTGGCACAAGGGTGCTGGGGCAGAGGTGCCAGCTGTGGGGTCGGTGCAGCTGAGCCCCGCTGCATCGCAGCACTCCAGCCGCGTCGCTGCAGCAGGAGCTCAGCTTCTCCCGGACTCTGCTTCCCTCTGGTGGCCGAGCCCTGCTGCTGCCGCCAAGATGAGAGGGGCTGGGAGAGGAGCGGGGTGTTGCAGCTGGCTACAGCCAGGGTCGGAACCAGCAGCCGCAGCAGTGCTTCACTGCTGTCAGGAGCTCATTAGTACTGGGGAAGCTTGGGCAGTGGGAGGTTACTGGGAGGAGAGGATCAGAAGTACACTCCTGACGATGCTAGATACACCTTCGGCCCAGAGGTACTGTGATTCTCAACAAGTCAAGCTGTGCTAATTCTCATCAGTCATCATAAAATCATAGAACAGTTTGGGTTGAGTGCTGACTCAGAAACAGAAGGACACTTCTGCAAGCAGTCACATGTGGTTTATTCTTTTCACAGAGCTGGGAGTAGAAGAGCCAGGGGCTCCATCCCACCCCTGACCTGCAGCAGGCATTACCACACACATGCAGCTGGTGAATGGCACAGAGCACAGGCTCGGGCACCAGCCAGCAGAGTCCCAGGGAGACACAACTGGAAGCCACAAAAAATAACGGGGACATCAACTGCAGTAGCAGCAGAAATAAAACCAGAGGGAAGAAACCCCATGGCACTGTGCTAAGCAGTGGGCCATGGCCTCTCCTCAGTGGCTGAAAAGGGTGGTACATATGAGGTTTAGGGTATAGACTCCATCCCAAGCAGGGGGGTCCTAATGGAAGAACCCTCAGCCTCCCCTTGAAGATGCTAGCAAGCGTAGGCAGCAACAGAAGATTTGTGGCCACAAAACCTTGTATGTGCCCTCCCCCTTTACAAGCAGGCCTCCCACCACTGCAGGCAGAAGAGCCAAGTGGGTTCACAGGCTTTGGGTAGGACGCAGCCTCTCGAGCTCCCCTGCTTAGCCCACCAGCTTGCTCCAAGAGATGGTGCTGAAGAAAGAGTGGGACTTGAGCTTGGAGATTCCACCTCCTCCTGCACCCAAACGCTGTTTGGGGTTGTGCTGCAGGAGCTGCAGAGAAACATAGGAGATTAGCTGGGGAAGATTGGTGCACTGGGAAAGCTGCCTAGGCTTGACTTGGCTCTTCAGCCTTTACCTGAGTAAGTAGTGATGTAGCTGCCAGGCTGAGACCCTCGGGCAGAAGTAGCTGTGTGTGAGGGTAGATCCCTGTTGGATGGCTTTGGAACAGTGGCTGTAGGAGGCAGAGGGTGACAGTGAGCAGCTGCACTGATCAGAACAGTAACACCCTGCTGAGCCTTCAGTACCACCCACTCCCATCCCAGCGTGGCAGGTTAAAATCCAAGGCTCTCAGCTCACAGGGCACTAGGAACCACACTCCTGGAACACTGCAGCATGGGGCCAGTGCTGGAATGCAGCCCATTGCGCTGTTGTGTCCCATGTGCCCCATCCCAGTGCTGCACAGCCCCACTGCTTCTTACCACTCCAGTCAGCAGCTCGTACAGCAGTGACCCAAAGCTCCAGCAGTCCGCCGCTTCAGTCAGCTCTGCGATGCCCCCCACTTCTGCAGAAAGAGCCAGTGAGGGATGTGGGCTGGCAGTGAGGAGCTGGGCCTGGGCAGCAGCCCCGAGGCTGTTACACGGTAGGCCTGCGTGCAGCTGGCCTTCCCCCCAATCAGTAGCACCGGGCAGAGGATGTGAGCCTTACCTGGGGCACTGTACAGCTGCTCCAGTGCTTGGCTGCAGTACTGTGGCTCTACCTCTGTCCACTGGCCAAAGAAGGTGAGACGGACGTGACCTGAAGGCCAGCACCAAAGAGGTTAAGACAAAACTGGCAGAGCACAAAGCCAAGGCCCAGCCACTCAGCTGGCAATAAGCCCTTACTGGGGACAGCTGGGACACACGGCCTCTGCTGTGCCCTGAGTGCAGGGATACTGAGCATCCCCTGCTGAGAGCAGGCTGCTTAGATGGGGGCCAGTCCATGGACCTCGGAGCAGGCAGCAGTGAGGAGCACAGCAGAAGAGGAAGGCTGACTTTCCCCTTGCAAAATTCTGATTTTTGTTCCTAAGCATTTTGTGGCTCTTCAGTTTGCCTCAAACTTTTCCAGCTGCCCAGGGAGGTACCCATGGCTTGAAGCAAATGGCAGGCTAAAGGAACCCTGGGTCACAAGTACAACCTGGGTAAAAGGGCAGTTTCACCAACCTCAAATACTGCTCAGCTGCTCCCAACTTCCCTGTGCCAGGATTTCCCAGGCAGACAGGTCCACACAGGAGCGGAAGCAGCATATTCCTGCGGCCATGTTCCCTCTAGACACACCTCTCATAATAACCTCTTGGAAGTCTCAGATCATGCTTTCAGGCTCAGACAAACCTCCCCATCTTCCCACCACAACAGGCTCAGGAAGCCTGAGACTCCTGGCAATTGGGTGAGCAGCCATCTTCCAGCCCAGTGGCCAGCCTCCACCTACCAGCTGTATCCAGCAGCAGGTTCCTGGGATTGAGGTCCCGGCACAACACGCCCTGTTGGTGAAGCCCCTCTAAAGCCAAGAGGATTTCTGCTGCCCACATCTGCACCTGCTCCTCCTTCACAGCCCAGGCCGTGCGGCCGTGCCCCCAGGCGGCCGGAGCCCTGCGGAGTCCCGATGGGGCTGGAGCACAACCACGGGTCAGACTGGCAGTCTGGCCACCGAGAGCCCTGGGCTCATGCTGAGCTGTTCTTGCCAACATGCAGCCCTTGGCCTCGCCAGTGGTCACAGAGTTCTGGGGGTGGAAGACCAGACCCTGCTCACAGAGGCTGGGGCTGGGAGTGAATGCAGCTTGGTTGGAGGAGCCCTGGCTGCTCCCTTTGGTGCTGTCCTCGCTGTTCTCTCCCCCATGGCCCTGCAGGGCTGGGGAGACTGCAGTACACAGGGAACCAGAACTGGGGGAAGGGCCCTGCTGAGAGCGGTACTTGGCACGCAGGTGGGACCACAGTGTCTCCCCTGGAAAGCAAAGAAGAAGAAGTGATGGGGCACAAAGCAAGACAGGTACCACACCACGCACCCCATCATCTCCCCATCTGCCATCCCCTCTCTGGTCTGATCTCAAACCCATTGCGTAGCCTCTTCATCTCTAACCATACATCCTCCTGAGAAGGGCTGCGCCAGCAGATAAGGCAGACCTAACCCACGGAGACGCAGCTGATGCATTAAGGCTGGGGAAGGAGCGGGAGGCAGCGCTGCACTCACCCTGCACGTGCTCCAGGTGCAGGAAGATGGAGTCCTCACTTGTGTAGTAGCACAGCAACTTCACCATAAAGGGGACGCCATGTGGGATGATGGTCTGGCGCGTGCGGGTCTCCACGAAGGACTTGGGGAGGCTCTGAGGAGGTAGAGTACAGGTCACTGGGGGTTACAGGTGGAAGGTGTGAGCTTCCCAGGCCCTGTCAGGACAGGACCCAGCCAAGAGGGCTGTGGCAGCGTGCCAAAGTCCTTTATTTATAGGGGACTATTGTGTTCCAAGGGTGCTGGAAGTGCCCGCCAGCTGCGCTGGGCACACCATGCGTGTGACCCACCACTGCTTTCAGGGCAGAATGTGAGGCGAAGCCTGGGCCACCGTCACAAGGCTAAGGCCCAGTGGAGAAGCAAACAGATGAAGAGGACCTCCTCCCTCCTGCTCAC